GAGAAGTTCCTTTAGTAGGCGCGAGAACGGTTCCTGCTGTCCAAATCTGTTGGGGTAAGGTCCAGGCGCAGGCGGTTCAGACGAAGGTTGATGACGTACTAGAAAATTACTTTAGTAAGATGCTAGGCTGAGTTTCTGAGTTGAAACATCTCTTTGGTTCTGATTTGGAAGTGCTGGTTGCTCCACAATTCTATGATTGTTTGTCTCATTGATCTTCTAAGGAGTTTTAGGAATTTGTTGCGATAACAGCGAGATGCAGCAGACTGATGTTTCCACCATTTTGGAGACCTTCCTCGTATCGAATGTGTATGAAGACCCAAATAGCTCCCAAAATCAACTGCAAGTGGTCGAACGTGCGATGACATTCGCTTGGTATGCAGTCAACGAGCCAGTGGTTGGGTTTTTCTAAAGTAGTGCGAGGGTCGTTTGCTTCCGATTTTGATCAACTTCTCTATTAAAATGAATGGATAGCTTCAGTGTGACAAATTCCCGTGACGGGTTCGAGAGATTTGAAGTTTTAGTGGATCATAAAATTTTATCATATTGCTTCATGTTTCAATTCTGGAAACATTCTATTTCTTTATGGCAAAGAATTGGAACGTTCAAATTGAGAATCTTTGGAATGGACGAAAGGAGTTCCGCCTCATAAGCTTTAAATGTGGTCTTTGTTCTCAATGAATGTTGGTGCACCGAACCCAAACGCAACGCTTCAAAACTGGAGAGTTGTTCAATCAAAACAAACCGATTATGAACATCGGGTGCCGAGTTCTTATCGTGGAATGAGAGGCGAGTCAGACACTGTCAGCGTTTGAAGTGCATCACCCAAACTCCGATTTATTGCTTGGATGGATCGTCAAATTCTTGTCACAATATTCATTATTATTCTTGCAGAACCTAGAAGGTGAAACTGCCTTGGCGGTAAACGGAGATAATAATCTGATGGACGTTCTAAACAAAAACAAATTTAAATTCACTGAATGAGGTGGTGCTGCAGCTTCTTAAAAAGTTTCTACTGTTGTTAAAAATCAATTCGTGCAAACCTCGTACGGGTGCACACACAGTTTAAAACGATCAGGCACACGCATGCTGTTTTGGGTCACAATTAGCCCCAGCGTCTCACCCTTCTTTTGTAACTAGGAGTATCAATCCAAAAAAGAGTATTAATTCTTTGAGATGCAGATCTTCGTGAAAACCCTTACAGGTAAGATTTGTTTAATAGCAATTAGCTGCTGCGGCGGTCTTGGCGTGGCCCGAGTTACCGAATGCGATGCAGGAAAGACCATTACGCTTGACGTGGAGTCTTCGGATACGATAGAAAATGTGAAAGCAAAAATCCAAGATAAAGAAGGAATCCCCCCCGACCAACAACGTCTCATTTTCGCTGGAAAACAACTTGAAGATGGCCGTACCCTCTCCGATTACAACATCCAAAAAGAGTCCACACTCCATCTTGTTCTTCGTCTACGAGGAGGCATGCAAATCTTCGTGAAAACTCTAACGGGTACGTACCGACGTAGCAGCAGCACTATGCCATCTCATCTTCTTAGGAAAGACCATTACGCTTGACGTGGAGTCTTCGGATACGATAGAAAATGTGAAAGCAAAAATTCAAGATAAAGAAGGAATCCCCCCCGACCAACAACGTCTCATTTTCGCTGGAAAACAACTTGAAGATGGCCGTACCCTCTCCGATTACAACATCCAAAAAGAGTCCACACTCCATCTTGTTCTTCGTCTACGAGGGGGTATGCAAATCTTCGTGAAAACTCTAACGGGTACGTACCGACGTAGCAGCAGCACTATGCCATCTCATCTTCTTAGGAAAGACCATTACGCTTGACGTGGAGTCTTCGGATACGATAGAAAATGTGAAAGCAAAAATTCAAGACAAAGAAGGAATCCCCCCCGACCAACAACGTCTCATTTTCGCTGGAAAACAACTTGAAGATGGCCGTACCCTCTCCGATTACAACATCCAAAAAGAGTCCACACTCCATCTTGTTCTTCGTCTACGAGGGGGTATGCAAATCTTCGTGAAAACTCTAACGGGTACGTACCGACGTAGCAGCAGCACTATGCCATCTCATCTTCTTAGGAAAGACCATTACGCTTGACGTGGAGTCTTCGGATACGATAGAAAATGTGAAAGCAAAAATTCAAGATAAAGAAGGAATCCCCCCCGACCAACAACGTCTCATTTTCGCTGGAAAACAACTTGAAGATGGCCGTACCCTCTCCGATTACAACATCCAAAAAGAGTCCACACTCCATCTTGTTCTTCGTCTACGAGGGGGTATGCAAATCTTCGTGAAAACTCTAACGGGTACGTACCGACGTAGCAGCAGCACTATGCCATCTCATCTTTTTAGGAAAGACCATTACGCTTGACGTGGAGTCTTCGGATACGATAGAAAATGTGAAAGCAAAAATTCAAGACAAAGAAGGAATCCCCCCCGACCAACAACGTCTCATTTTCGCTGGAAAACAACTTGAAGATGGCCGTACCCTCTCCGATTACAACATCCAAAAAGAGTCCACACTCCATCTTGTTCTTCGTCTACGAGGGGGTATGCAAATCTTCGTGAAAACTCTAACGGGTACGTACCGACGTAGCAGCAGCACTATGCCATCTCATCTTCTTAGGAAAGACCATTACGCTTGACGTGGAGTCTTCGGATACGATAGAAAATGTGAAAGCAAAAATTCAAGATAAAGAAGGAATCCCCCCCGACCAACAACGTCTCATTTTCGCTGGAAAACAACTTGAAGATGGCCGTACCCTCTCCGATTACAACATCCAAAAAGAGTCCACACTCCATCTTGTTCTTCGCCTACGAGGGGGTATTTAAGTCGTTGTTGTTGAAGACTCTCACGGGTACGTAACGTAGCAGCTGCACAGGCATCCGCATTTCCTCAGGAAGCATTCAACGTCTCTTTTACAACAATTAAAAGAAGCCCAACTCTTTGATTTCCAAAAGGAGTGAAACACGGATGCATTTTTTCTGGTTATTACTTCAAATTCACCGTTTTGAGAGTGTGACGAACTCAAACAGACAAATGTACTCAAACCATTCTTTTTCGCATATATTATGCGCATTGGGGGATGAGGGAGCCTGAGAATGGGAGTGCGAGGGATCAAATTCCCCATACTACATAAATATGCGGAAGAAAAGGTCCCTCCAATTGGGTGTCGGAAAATTTGGAAAAAGATGTTGTTGAGCGAAGTATGTCACACGCAAGAAATTTAAACACGGCAATTCGGAAAAAAGATTTAAACAAGTCAAAATTTAGTAGGTTGCGCTAAAGGGCAATCAAGTCGTGAATTCCTCCTTCTTTCTGAGCGGCGCCAGACCGAACATCCATCGTCAGTAACCCGTTGTACAATTTAGAATGAAGATCTGGAATGTTCCGGCATCCCAAATCTTGCATTCCATGTCTAACTCCTTGCATTACATGAGGGACTAAAGCTTTGATAGAACCCTTATCGACGACGGCACCAGAAACTCCTTGGGCAACCTTAACACTTGAATGTTCGGCAAAATAGCGGCACACTGACCCCTCTGAAAAATTTGTCATTCTGGCAAAGAAACGCGATCATCAAACGTACGAGTTCTTGCTATTTCTGAGTCTTTCATCGCAGCTAGGGAACCCATTCCGCGGTAGTTTTTCACTCGAACGGCGTTGTGAAAAAAGTATTGCCCCGGAGTCTCTTCAGTCCCAGCAAACATTGATCCAACCATGACTGTACTTGCACCCATGGCCAACGCCTGCAAACGAAGGATTGTCTATCAGCTTGGAGCGCTCGGCTTTCTTCACCTACTTTCATAACGTGACCCGAATTCTGAATTCCACCATCGGCAATGCAAGGAACGTCAAAGTGCTCCTTTGCATATTTAGACACATGGTACACCGCGGTTCCCTGAGCTCTTCCAACGGCCGTCACTTCTTGCGTCGTACAAATCGATCCGCTCCCCATTCCAATTCGAAGTCCATCAGCCCCAACTCCCAACAACGTCTTTGCTTGACGCCCACTAACAACATTTCCTCCAATGATTTCAATACTTGGAAAATTCGATTTCAGTCTTGAGATCAAATCGGATTGGAACACAGAATCGCCTTGAGAAGAGTCAACGACAAGGACATCAACGCCAGCGTCTATCAGAGCTTTGGCGCGCCCCTCTTCATCAGCTCTGAACATCACGGAATGAACTCCATCACCATTGAGTAATTTTTTACACGCAATTTTTTGTGCATGGGTATCTACTGAGAGCTACAGTAGACTAGACTAGACGAGTGTGATGTACATGAACTCGTCATTAGTATCTTTGCCTTACCTTGTTGAGATCGCCGCTCCTACTAGCAGTTGTTTATTTGTATGTTTGGATGATAATGGATATTCTTTATTTTTCACCAAATCATTTCGACTGATCAACGCGACGAGTTCACTTGCATCGTTAACAATAGGAAGCTTTCCCTTCTTGCTCTCTCTAAGGATGCTGTTTGCTTCAGCGAGGGTGATCGGCTCACTTCCTGTCACTAAATCTGTTGTCATCACCGACGATAGTTTGATGGATCGGTCACTAATAAAATCAATGTCTCTGTTTGTGACGATGCCAATCAATTTCCCTCCCATCTTTCCCGTCGACGTGATCGGAACAGATGAATGACCGTGCACCTGAAGGATAGAAAAATTGTATTTACAAAAAAAGTATCGTGAAATCAGGAAGCAACCAATAGACTCAAGATCTTGACTCACCTTTTTGATCTCGTCTAAATCTGCAATTGTATTTTCTGGTCCTAGCACCGATGGATCCATGATAAAACCATTTTCAAATCTCTTCACGCGGGATACTTCTTTCGCTTGCTGTGCGATTGTTAAATTGTTGTGAATAATTCCAATCCCTCTGAAGAAGACGCATTTCAGTTGCGAATCTATGACGCCATTTTTCAATCCACTCGTACCCCATAAGCGCACAAGCAATTGCCATCTTGTGCTCAGTCACCGTATCCATGGGACTCGAAACGACTGGTGTGTTCAAAGAGATGTTCTTTGTTAGACGTGACCGGAGATCAACCTCATGGATGCCAAAGTCAATGTGACCTGCAAACCAGCGATTCCCGATGTTGATGACTTTAAGACCTTACCAGGCATCAAAATGAGATCGTCATAGGTGAACCCAAAGACGGTAGATGAGAAGACCTTCTCAGCTGTCCACCCATCCATTGGTGCGAAATATTTAACAGAGCTTGCCTGTGATGCATCATGCATGCAGGCACGCTTCGTCCCAGGCTCCGCCACCAGAGAACTCCTCCACACACGAAAAAGAGTTTGCTTGGCGTGTTGACGTTTAAATTTTTGATTGTGTGGGATTCAAACTTTTTTGACCCCCTGACTCATTTTTCTTATATTTCTACACTTTTTCGTGGCACGAACACCTTCATTATTCAACAGAAAAAGGGTTTAAAACAGAACACCAATCACACCAAAACTTCCCATTGGTTCTTGTGACTGGTCCTTACTTGACCACAAATAATCGAAGAGGCGTACCTGTTCCTACTTCATCAGTTTGCGATAGCTGACATTATGTAAAAACCTCCCACTCCAACAAAAATCTCGCCGATTGATCGCTCGACTTCTTCCCTGGTTCTCACTTTCACTCACCCATCAGCTGATCAAGATTCTAGCGGTTCTATCGACGGTCGCCCATCTCTATGATAACTCTCTATGCGCAGTCCTCCATCCTTAGCAAGTTTCTGAATCTTTAGCTGCAGCCCTCATTTGAAAGGGTGTGCTTTTGTGTAGACGGGTCTACTATGGGAGCTTGTGCTTCGTCTCTTAGCCACAAGACAACAGCACGAGAAACGACCGCAATTCCTCCATCGACGACATCGTTTGCTGCTGGAAATTCCGGTAGAGATTCGGCAGACGCTACGAAGAAAGCGGCTGAAAGTCGAAGGTCCGTTTTCTCATGCTTGTGAACGTTATCATGACTGATTCTTCTGCTTTCATTTCTAGGGACACGAATTCGGGTCAGAAGAACGGCGCTGATACCAAAAAGCCTGACGATACGATGCCTCCCAAAGTAAGAACGACTTTTTATATGAATATTGTCAATTGATTGATTAAGCAGGGAGAGTCAGGAAAGGCGCTTATCCCGTAAGTTGACGTATTATAGAAATAGAGTTCACAAGAGAATCATCATTTACCCAACTGATCGATCCAACACACAACTGACATTCAATTCAACTTTGGACCCGGACCCTTGATTCTATCCCGCTGTTCTCTCTCCTGCTCTCTACATCTCTTTCTCCCTCTTCACTGGTTATTATCGCATCACCCACACATTCATTCAATTCAAATTCCCTATTCTCATTTTGTTCTTCTTTCCTTTCCCTCGCTTCTTCGTTTTCTCTTCTTCTTCCTCTTCTTCTTCTTCCTCTGTTCTTTTTTTTGTCTTTTTTGTTTGGTTCTTCTTCGCTAGTCGCTCACTTCCTGTCGATCAACCCGGTACCACATCAGCTGTACGGCCTAAGAGCTCAACACGAGCATCTTCGAATGATGGTTCCAGTCCCTCGGCTTCTCTTCCAAGATTTGCACATAACGTTTCATCTCGATTTAAGTCGAGTCTTCGTTCTACCAGCTCACGAGGGGAGGATTCCCCAATGGTCTCGTCAGAGAAACGGGTGGGAAGGACTCCTAGTTCCCGTCTCAAGGAGAAGCATGGATCCCCGGTTTCCACCTCAGCAGGGTCTTCGCCGGGAGAACGAAAGGCCTCAGCATGTCGCTCTCGCCGCGCTGTTCGACGGTCCAGCAATGATTCTAGTGTAGAGGACGGCAAAGTGGATAGTTTTGGTAGTCGACATAGTCAGAGTGGTGGACAGTTGATCTCCTCATCCTCGCATCGTACACCCTCGTCTTCGTCTAGGGAGCGACGAATCATTGCAGATAAGGAGAAATTCGGGAGAATCCGAGCGGACGAACATGATAAAGAAATTGAAGCAGAAATCGATCGGTGAGTTTTGTTTTTGCTGATCGTCTGCGGTTGTCTTTTTAACGTCTTGTTAAATGTTACATGTATTTCTATGATTAGGCATGAAGAGCTGCGGGAGAAAACGGACAGTGATCGGGATCTTATCAAACAGGCACTCAAGGGAAACCTTGTGTGCTCTTCGTTGAATGAAGCCGAAATCGAGGCTTTGTGTGAAGCCATGAAGTTCTACGTTTTCACACAAGGCGAACTCGTTTGCCAGCAGGGAGCGATGGGATCTCATTTCTTCATTATCCATTCTGGACAATTTGAAGTGTCGATCAACGGAAAGGTTGTCAATCATATGGTGAGTTTTTGCTTCTCTATAGATGCTGGCCCAAAGAAACAACAACCTTTTCTATTGCTGTCTGTTCTTTTCCCGTTTTCTTATCCCGTTTTCTTATCCCGTTTTCTTATCCCGTTTTATTTTCCCGTTTTCTTATCCCGTTTTATTTTCCCGTTTTCTTTTCTCTTCAGAAAAAAGGAAAGGCATTCGGCGAAATTGCTCTGATTCACAACACGCCAAGAAGTGCAACAGTGAAAGCCTCTACTGACGGAGCTGTGTGGGGTGTTCAACGGACGACATTCAGAAATATTTTGAAGCAGTTATCCAGCAGAAATTTCTCGGAAAATCGAGCTTTCCTAGAAAGTGTTAAAATTTTTGAAATGCTGACTGAAGCACAGAAGACGATGATAACAAACGCATTAGTGGTCGAGTCTTTCGTCGATGGCCAGAACATTGTGAAAGAGGGAGAAAAAGGAGACGTCCTCTATATCATCAAGCAAGGGAAGGCGAAAGTTGTCATTCGTGGAACTGTTATCCGTGAACTCGCTAAGGTATTCGAGCCATCCGTATTCTGCCTGACACATGGCATCTCGATCATCTCTGTTAATGTATTTCTTGTAGGGGGATTATTTCGGTGAACGTGCTTTACTGTATGATGAACCTCGATCTGCTACAATCACTTCTGTTGGTCCAACTGTGTGTGTTTCTATCGGAAGAGATTTACTGCAAAAAGTTCTTGGAAATCTTCAGCATGTCTTATTCAGAAATGTAATGCTTATCGGTATGCAGAAATAATGTAGTGGCTGTAGTGAATTACTTGGTCTTCGTTGTACATCAATAGTTTACAGTTATCCATTAGACTTGATCATTGATTACTGTTATGCGCGTCATTCCTCTGCAGCTCTTCAAAACAGTTCGGTTTTCCAACAATTTACGGAAGAACAATTGGGATCCTTAATCGAAGCTGCAGTCGTGAAAGATTATCCGGAGAATTATACAATCCTTGATCGAGAAACGCGAGCCAGGGTAGGAATTCAATTTTTGGGAGGGCCAGAGATGGATCCTTCTTCTTAGGGTGTCCGTTTCTTCATCGTTTTGGAAGGTGACGTTCTTGTGAGTTTGGAGGGGAAGAAAATAGGGAAACTCGATCGAGGACAGTCTTTCGGAGAAGAGTACGTATTGCAGCCGAATCGTCCCTTCCAGCATCGCGTTGATTCAATTTCAAACTCCAAGGTAACAGAAGCGACAATGTACAGCTCTTTTGTCATTGTGATAATTGGTTCAATAAATATCTTTTTATTGATTGTCTTTATGAATGTCTTCTTATTGCTGTCTACACTTTCCTTCAGCTAGCGTTATTAACTTCATCGGCTCTTGCGGCTTCCCTTGGTTCTAATGACATCGATGAAACTCTTGATTACAACAATAAACGAGCAATTATAAAAAAGATGTATATTTTCCGATATTTGTCTGAATCTCAAATGGATATGCTAATCAGAGCATTCAAAACTGTCCGGTTTTCTATGGCTGAATCAATTATTAGAGAAGGAGAAATGGGATCGCGTTTTTTCATCATCAAATCTGTAAGCAATCGACTATCAGTTGTTCGTTAATATTTGGTTGATGTTGCGCATTCAGGGTGAAGTTGCTGTTTTGAAAGGAGGCAAGAAATTGCGAACATGTGGACGACACGATTACTTCGGAGAACGTGCTCTACTGTATGACGAACCAAGAACAGCTTCAATTGAAGCCACATCGAAGGAAGTAGATCTTTGGGTCGTTGAAAAAGCAATTTTCTTGCAATTTATTCATGGGCCAATGTTGTCCCATTTGGAGGAGAGGATTAGATTGCAGGTAAATCATACTACATGACTGCATGAACGATTACATGATTGCACGATGAATGATAGTATGGATGATTGTATGAATGATAGTATGGATGATTGTATGAATGATTGTATGGATGATTGTATGAATGATTGTTTGGATGATTGTTTGGATGATTGTTTGGATGATTGTATGGATGATTGTTTGGATGATTGTTTGCATGATTGTATGAATGATTGTTTGCATGATTGTATGAATTATTTCGTGAATAACGGAAAGATAATGAATGAGAACATAGAGGATGTCCATGAGTGATACTTGCGAAATATCTTGGATCGACAGAGTTGTTTCCTTGTAGGATACTAAAGTTCGCTTCGATGAGCTTGCTGTTGTTCGCATCATTGGAAGAGGGACATTTGGGACAGTCAAATTAGTGAAACATAAACCAACAGGAACCCGCTATGCACTTAAATGTGTGAGTAGAAAATCAGTGATTCAATTGAATCAGCAGGAACATATTCGATTGGAAAGAGAAATTTTAGCAGAGAATGATCATCCTTTCATCATTAAACTTGGTAAGTTCGACAATCAACAGAGTCGATTATTGAATCATTAGAGTCGATTATTGAATCTTCTTTGCTTCAGTTCGGACGTTCCGTGATTCTGAATTTCTTTATTTCCTAACTGAGTTGATTACGGGTGGAGAACTCTACGATGCAATCCGAAAATTGGGACTTCTGACAAGACCGCAGTCCCAATTCTACTTGGCATCAATTATCTTGGCTATTGAATACCTCCATGAAAGAAATATTGCCTATAGAGTACGTGTTCTTCTTTTGAAGACTGTGTCATGCATGTATTGTATTGCAGGATCTCAAGCCTGAGAACATTTTGTTGGATTCTCAAGGTTACATCAAGTTGATTGACTTTGGGTGTGCCAAAAAGATGCAAGGTCGTTGTTACACATTTGTTGGGACGCCCCATTACATGGCGCCCGAGGTGATTCTAGGTACGATAAATCAGTATTAATTCTCTCTATATATCTTTATATATCTCTATATACCCCTATATTTTCCCATCCGCATGGCCCGCCATTTCGAGCCCCTACGGTTGATCGATATGTTGCTTCTAGGCAAGGGATATACATCAACTGCTGACATCTGGGCTTTCGGAGTCTGTTTGTATGAATTCATGTGTGGCCCTTTGCCATTCGGAAACGATGCGGAGGATCAGCTGGAAATTTTTCGAGATATTTTAACTGGTTTGTCATTTAGGGAAAAAATACTCTTTTTTATCTTTTATATCCATTTTCAGGAAAGCTTGTCTTTCCACATTATGTGGTTGACCAGGATGCCATCAATGTGATGAAGCGCCTCTTATGCAGGCTTCCCGAAGTTCGAATTGGATGTTCAATCAACGGCTATAAGGACATCAAAGATCACGCATTTTTCCGTGAATTCGATTGGGATAAACTGTTAGGAAGAGGTCTGGTTCCTCCGTTGGTTCCGGCCGGGGAAGTTTATGCGGAAGATAATGATGAGGTGAGAATAGTCCCAAACTCGAATAGTCCCAAAATTGCTTCATCTTTATTTTTCTTCTTTTTCTTTGCAGCAGGGATCGCCAGGGGAAGAGGAAATTGATGAGGTGAAGCTTGAAGACGAGTACGATTGGGACAAAGAATTCTAGAAGGAATTGAATACAACAATGTAGAGGATTTGTTCTCAGCGTTCTTTTTGTGTTGAGCTTCAGCTTCGGGCTTGAGCGTCCATCTAATCTTAATTAGACTTCTTCTGCAAAAAATGATTGCGCAAAAATGACGACGTGTAGTCACTGATGCCGTTCCAATGGCTGCAAACACAAATTCCAAAAGGCCTGAAAATTCTGGATGGTCACTGGAGCACATTGATTGCCTGTCTTTGCTTGTATCATCAATTCATCGTCATCCAGGGGGGAACTAGGATCCTCCAAGTCACTCTCTCCATTTGGTCTAGATTGGGGCAGAGATGCAAAAATATCTAGAGCTGGATACTTTCTTTGACACGGTGAGGATTCTTCAGAATCAAGCGAACTTTGGGACTTTGTCACACTAGAAGCAGATTCTTCGATCATATACGACGCAAATCCATCCGGAGTCCTTAATGTTTCCTCGTCGCCAATATTAAATGTTTCGGCATTGATTGCGGAAATTCGATTTGGTATCGATGGAGCGTCATCAGATCTCAAACTAACTGGACTAATCAGATCGGACGGAGATTCAGTTCGATCAATTTCTTCCACGTTGGGACATCCTGCTTCCATAGATACGGGATTTATTGCTACCAACTCTGAACTCGCGTTTAGAGCGTTTCCCTCCGTTTGATTCTTGGCTGCTTTTCGTGTCGCTTCTTCTCTTAACGCTTGACGCCGCTCATCCTCTGCTGAAATCTTTTTTGCACAAACGATCTGTAGCGCCACAATCTCCTTTCGTGAAAATCTTCCGATCCCTTTGAAAGCGAGTTTAAGCAGCTTGTTATGGTCAATCTGCAGCAACCAAAACGGAAGAGTCTCATGTTAAATATACAAAATGTTAAATATAAAATTCAGCAAACTACAGGCTGGATGGAACTCACAGTCTTGGTTTCTAAATCCATCTTGAAAAATCCCATTACGGTTTCAAGCGAAAATTGAGGCAAGGGAGCAGATTCGAACATCTTAAATAGAGCAAGTGCTACACGGAATAAAACTTTTGGGCCTTCTAACACGAGGGAGTCCCAAACCCGAAACGTCGTCCTAATCTGTCCCAAAACATGAAAAGATTGAAACAAACGATGCCATAGAGATCATCGTAGTCCAACCTCACCGAAAGTGTGGTGCAGAAAAAGCAGAGGAACCATTCGGAGCAAATCCATTCCATCTCGACATTTGCAGCTGACAACAATTTGAATGCTCGTGAAGCTCGTCTTGCGACTAATTCACGTAAAACCTGGTAAAGCAATAAATTGATCATGAATAAAATAAATAAATAATCAGGAAAAATAATTCTCGTGAAAACACTTCTACATGAAAAAATTTCTCTGCACGATTCTCACTCCGAGATCTCGTCTTAATCCAAACATGGAATCTGAATAATAATCACTCATGTTCATTCCAAGATTTGACTCTGGAGAAGGCGAGATGAATTGAACAAGAGACCAAAACGCAAGATCTTCTTCCATGAAGATCAAAAGGATTCCGGCGATGAAATTCATGGACTGCATCAAAGAGAAAAAAACAACTTGAAATCAAAACTATTGAAGACAGAGGATGATGGTATACAGAGAATGATATACAGAGGATGATGGTATATACAGAGGATGATGGTATACACAGAGAATGATCTACAGAGGATGATGGTATATACAGAGGATGATGGTATACACAGAGAATGATCTACAGAGGATGATGGTATACACAGAGAATGATGTACAGAGGATGATGGTATACACAAAGGATGACGTACTTGACAATAATTGACCGAAGGGTTGAAAGCAGCAAAAGCTCGTAAAACGCGACGTAAGCGTTCCAAACCTCTACGGGATTTGAACTGAACAAGATAAGAAATAAAAATAGAAAAAAAAAGAAAAGAGAAAAAAAAGAGAAATAAGAAGAGAAATAAGAAGAGAAATGGAAAACAGAAATCTCTTACAAGTCGATTGGATGGAAACGTTCTTCTAACATCCAAATCTATTTGGTTTAAAGTTTGTTGCGATATTTCAGAAGAGGTGAAATAGTTTTCGTAATCATGTGGATGTTTGTCTCGCAGTTCACGACTTCCCAAACATGTTGACCAAACTTCCCCCCTGCAACAAAAAAATTAATGGTTGACAGACAGAGTGTCCCAACCTCAAGCAATTTGGGACACCTTTCCGTAAAAGTTGCTTCAGCCGTGTTTTATTCGTCATTTTAGGGTCTTGGGCTCGAAATTGCGCCCATCTGAAAAAAAAACCGAAAACTTTGAAATGAACATTAAAAAAAAAGCTCAAACACCTTTTTGCACGTCGTATGGCCTTTGGCTCAAAATTTTTAGTATAGTGTTCTGTTGCATTTATAACAGCAGTAGTTGACACAGAAAAATCCCTACGGAATCCAAACTCATCGAAGGGAACAGATTTTTCTATAAAAAAGGAGACAGAGCGTGGTGAAACGTGCTTCTACTGACTGTAGGGAGGCCCAGGACCAAAATCAGTGATGGGGCCACAGAACGAAACAGAGTCATCGGATTGCTGGATGGGAAGCAGGCACGCATTTGAGTCATTTGCCTGCTCATGCGGGGCTGCAAAGCATCGAAGTAAACTGGTTCTTGTTGTCTTTTCTTCTCGAGGCATGACTGATGTTCAACTATCAACGCCAGGCATTATCTTTTTATTTACGGACTTCTATTGCCAGCTCCGTGCAATGGAGAACGTCAAGCCGTGGCACTTCATAATGTGTGCTTCGTTTTGTGCTTCACACCATTCTTCGACACAGTAGAGTGCTTGCTGAACCTGATGTTTACGTTGAAAAGTGAGTGAATCTCAAACCCAGACAGGCATTCTATTCTTTAGATGGAGTTTGTTGAATTTTGATTGGAAATACTAAACCTTCAGCATCCATAGAATCAAGAATGAAAACATTATTAAAAACTTCAACATCAAACTGGCGTCCCTCTTTCGATGCAACATATTCATGAGAAATGAATCTTTGAACTTCTTGAGCTGAGAAATACAACAAATAAAATTCTCTCACATTGAATAAACCCCTACTCAACAATCCTCCTAAAACAGCTGAAGATGTCGGAAATGAAAGACCATCCAATCGCTTCCAATCACTCAGCATTGCGCTTATGCTGTTAGACTCTTCACAAATTGAAAGTTCGGTCTGCGATATTCTTCAACGTGAAAGATGCAAACAACTCCATTTCTCTTACTTTCTTCAGTAATTCGAGACCGAATTGAACAAAGTCACGTGCTCCTCCCTCCTTATCAAAAGCAATTAGCGCTAATAACATAATCGAGTATGGGAAATAATGGTGCGATTGGGACTCACCAATAAAAAGAAGCAACTTCAGATTTGAATTTTTCTTCCGCTTTTTTCCTGGAAGATCTTCGCTTGAGACTGAAAGAATATCGTCTAGTGATGGGAAGTGCAAAGTCCGTGTTTCTACAGTCTTCCCAGCATGATGTCCTTCCCTGAGCGGAATAGACGGGGTGAGGCACGTGGGACATGGATGCGACCATACGCGCGATAGGTGGATCCGAAATCCTGGAAGAATCCTCCATGAAGACCGATACTACGAGTGAGAAAAAATCCCTACAAAAAAAGAAGCAAGCATGGCGATAATATGAGATGAAGATACCTTGCCAGTGTCCCTACAGAGAGAATTCAAGGCGAGAAGATCATTGATTGAAATGGATTCAGAGGCGACTATGATGGCATTGAAGGGTCTGAGCGGATGCTGCAGGGGGGGAGTTGAATGAATAAGTGATCGGGTCGCATGTTTGAGCAACAGGCGTACATTGGGGTCGTCTTTGGGAAAGCAAAGACATTTGTGGAGACATTGATCTGCATAAGGGATAGTTGAAACACACGTTTGGAGTTCATGACGAACCTGATAGAGTATCAACTTTAACAAATGGATTCAAGTGACCAATTTGCTCCGTCGTTGCATTCAATATCTGAAATCAAACAGCGGTTGATATCAAGTTGCTACAAAGCTTGGCTGATTGTGGCTGGAAACTGCAGTTACCGATTCGGGTGAGATGAATTGTTTTGCAGAAGAAGTTGCGAAAAAGTTATAAACGGTGTGTGAGGGGTGCAACTGTGGTGGGGCTGTCGCATCGCTGCTTAAGGGAACATGGCCGCTTGAAAATGTTAATCGGATTCCAGCAAGAATCAGATTCTTAGCGGTTTCCACATTAATTCCAGTGAGTCCGATGATCAACAAATGACTGCTGATCAATCTGACAACCGTGAGTTTATGAAGAAGCGAACTTCGAGCAAGATCTCACTTTTGTTGGATCTCAAGGCCCCAAAGACGGATCTGCCTATCGTAAAGTTTGGCCTCCTCCTCTCCAATGTTCATCATGTCGCGTGCACTGCCCTCTGTAGGTCCAGTCGCTCAGTCCCCCCCCTGCGGTCTGGAAGGGAAGGGGGGGGCTCGGTTTTTCTATATCGTCTGGAGTTTCAGGAGTCCCCCACTTGCTCAAAATTCATGCTGAACAGAAACTACAGCCACCCCACAATTCTTGGGTAATTCTTTGAAATACACGTTCTTTGAAATAACCACAAGCACGATACATTGCTGCCCTGTCAGTGTGCGCCTTTTTTGCAATTTTTTCATAAACCAAGCCAGAAATAATTGGACGCGGTTGTGCCGTACCCAATTCTGAGCTTGTAGGTTGCTGCGACGCACTTTCATTATCGTCAGCAGCAAACAGTTGAGGGTGTTGCCGCTGCAAAATATGCACCAAGCTGTTCTCTGCGGCCTTCGAGTAGCGAAATCCAGGTCCATAGTCTTGTGAGACGATCTCATAGAACACCCCCTCCTTGTCGACGATGTCCTTAATTTCTTCTTCTTCCTTTTGCTTTGCCTTCTGACGGCATTCCGTAATCTGAAAATGAAATCATGAAGCCAGAAATTTTAATAAATTCTATACCGTGCAAAATTTCCAAACTCACCTCTTTCTGATTCTGATTGTCAGCTGTTTGAAGCTCCTCTTGCAAAACTTTTTTTCGGGAGTCATCCGAACCAAAAGCAAGCTCGTAGATTGTTTCCTCTCTTCTTTCCAAATAATTGTTGTAGAGTGGTGTACTTTCAAAATTATCTCGAGCAGAGTTATAGACATTCAAAACACGTTGTCGAATCAATCGTTCCTGTTCAAAGAGTGTCTCCTCCAGTCCGCGGTCCATCCAATCATCTATGGAAACCCCAGATTGGCACACAGGGCACTTCAGCCCCTGATTTCTAGAACCAGCAGCTGTCCGTTGAATCTTTTGAGTTGGACCATCCGTCGTAGCTGCCAGATTCGCTGTTGTCGCCGCTTCAGTACATTGCTGCTGTCGATGGAGGCACCGACGGCACACTCGATGGCCACAATGGACAGAAGTCAATAGCTTGTTTTCGATAGAAGCATAAGCAGACTCAAAACAAACGTCACATGCTACTCCAGTACTTGCCATCGACTTGCAGGCACAGCTAAATATCCAGAAATGGGCATATCAGATGAAAATGGAGTTTGACTCACTTTCACAACGATGAAGCCGAAATAATCTTTAATAATGAGCACATTCAAGCTGATCTCAGAGCAGCTCACACACGCGCGATTGGGTCCTCAAAATCTCCATCAACATGGACGCAACACAGTTCGATGGTTTTCTCATTCTCCCTCAATAAATGTTCATTTTAACTATTTCGTAATTTTTAGTTTTTTTGAGGACACAAGAGACGCACCAGTTCCTATGCTGTTACACTCTTCTGCATGCAACGAGAACAGAGTCCCAAAACTGTAGAGGAGTCTCATCAAGCACCATTCACCCTCGTTGGTCTCAAATTCCCCAAATTTTTTCGAAACAACCAAAATGGATTCTTCGGATCTCAATGCTTCTATCACTTCTAGTTCTGTCGAATCTCCAACGACCGAACGTCAGCAACTTGTTGAAGAGCTCCCAACCCCGCAGCAACAGCGTGCTATGCACAGCAGCAATGAGGAGTGTGATGATTCCAACACTGAATCGTCACTCTTAGAAGACACCACATCTAAGGATGATGTTCCACCTTCAATGGAATGTCTAGCGGCTCAGCCACATTCTGACGCTGCCGACTCTGTTGCTCCGAAACTCTCTATGTCCGATGCGGCAGAACTTGGTTACACGGTTCAACGCGTCTCGACGGCCGGGAGCAGCCAGCATCCCTCCATCACCGGTTCTGTTCCTCGAACTGTGAGCGTTCAGAGCACCCACAGTCATCAAACTGTGAACATCCATCCGTCTGGGTTGCAAGGGACGTCTTATTTTGGTGCACCGATCCAAACTATTGAAGCGTCTCATCCCACTGTTGCAATTCGTGGTGCTTCTGGCGAGCATCATCAAACTCAACAAGGATATCAATCCGGGATTGAGCCTGTCAACATGACGTTCGCTCCAGAAGGAATCACAGTTGATGGCCGAACATCCGAAATGGAAGTGATCATGAAGGGAGTCAGCCCAGTGGAAGTCTCGCGAACATCATACACCACTCAGACCGCTTCATCCTATACGCCTGTTTCTGCAAATTTAGCGACTCTTCCAGCATCGTCCCTTCTATCGATCAATCATGATGCCGCGACACCAGGAACGACAAAATCAATCATGTCCACAGGATTCGACACGACGACGTCCTATGAAGCTGGACGACGACAGGTCTCTTCCGTTATCCTTTCTGAAGAGTTCCTAACAGCTCCACCATCCGACATGGAAGTTAAATGTGAGTCGCTGATCACGAAATTTGGTTGTAACGATACGCTTTTCAGACGTTGAAGTTCCCGTTATTGAGGAAGTTATCAAACGTGTTCCCAAAAGAGAAATTGTCGAAGTCGAAAAAATTGTTCCGAAATATGAAGTTGAAATCGTTGAACGTGTTGTTGAAACGCCTCGTGTTGAATACATCGATCGATTTGTTGAGAAGCCTACTGTCCAGGAGGTCGTCGTTTCAAAGTCGGTGAAGACAGTTCAAGAAGTCCCACGCGAAGTGATTAGAACGGTTCCCAAGATAGAAACCGTTGTTGTCGAGAAATGTGTCAATGTGCCGGGAGAGATTATCGAGGTTTGTACGACAGGTGTTTTCTGGGCATTAGTCCGTGTTTCAGGTACCGAAACCATACAAAGTGGAACAGCAAGTTCCAACCAAGCGATGGGTGGACAAAAACATGCCGGTTGTTGTTGCTCAAACAATCCGTCCAGTTGTCACTGAATCCCAGGACGTTATCGACGTTGATATCTGTAAGGGCGGAGTGAGGAAGGGCATCTATTATGCTTGATTTTGCGCTTCAGATGAGTACGAGCCTCAAATTGTCGAGGTAGACGTTCATGTGGCGAAGCCCATTTCTTCGCACCTCACAATTGTGGGACAAACACAAGAACACCACCAGGCAGTAACTGTTCCAGCTGCTCAATACAACACAATCCTTCGATCGATCAACCAACATATCGACGATTTCAGCAGTCTTCCATACATCAAGGAAAACAATCAAGTTTCATTTTTGGGTAGGCGTTGTTTGAGCTGCCCTCCAACTTGAACGTTTTAATTTCAGGAACAAATGAAACTCCAGGATTCACAGCACCAGACTCGCGCGTTGATGTTTCAAGCGTTTTATCCCGAGGAAACGTCACATCCAGGAAACTCACTAGTGGGGACGCGCCCCAGTTGTTCACCTCAGCATGCAACTCCATCGATTAATGTTGTCACAACAAGTGAAATGGGACGACGTACGACTAACCACTCTCCCTACGCTCCAGCATTCGTCGGGGGCTCCATCACTCAAGGGTCCATCGCCCCATCGGCAACGAAACTCGTTGTTGGCCACCGTGGAACCAGTGGAGGAGGTTCCCAGCAAATGTCTCATCACAAATCTCACCATTCTCACCATCGAAGCAAACATTTGGGCATGAAAGCCGCACAAAAGAAAAAGAGTGCCTGTGCTTGCTAGAGTCGCCTAATTTTTTTTTGTGGTGTAATTCTCTTCTTGAATTATTGATGTCGATCGTGAAAATTCTTCTGTTTTCTGAGACGTTGTTGTAACATGAGCACAAGCAATTTTCTGGGACAAAACTGCTTTTACCTGTTTTTTTTTGATTTACATACCAGTTGGTCTTCCCATTCCCACTTTTTCATGAGGTTGCGTCCCGACAGCTAGAACAACCGCAGTGCTCCCTTCTACAAGGTCTGTTGTGAAATTGCAATTCTTCCCCTGTTACTTCAAGCAACGCCATCTCTTTTTCATAGAACATAGAAGCACCCAATAATTTCCACGAACAGGTTTCCAAACGCTTGTATAAACACCCAAAGAGAACTAATGTCCCCTAAAATCCATTCCAACCACACCCATACCGCTCCGACGGCCAATCCAGTAACAATGAAGACCCTACCAGGGATCAATGACCTTGATGCGAACACGCTGCTTCAACGTTCATCCACAGCTGGCAGCAGCCACTCAACATCTCAACTTCCTCGAGCCAATAGCCTCTCTAGCACTCCGAAAAGCTTGACCAACGGTGAAATGGATTTTCAAAGTATTGTTGTGCCATCAGAGCAACACAAGTCAGCGTCTGGATCACCACCTCAACTTCGAGCCAATAGCCTCACTAGCACTCCGTTTCAGTCACCCAAGATGGCTCTACAGAGTGCTGCTGTGCCGTCAGAGCAACTTCGTATCCCGAACGTCTCAACCAGCAATTCTCCGAAGATGATCTCACAAAGCATTGTGACACAGCCGACGCCTTCTGGACAGGAAAATGCTTCTCTTCAACCCTCACCAACAGCTGTCAGTTCTGAATCACCACCTCAACTTCGAGCCGACAGCCTCACTAACACTCCGACAAGTCCGGTCAACGAATCACCCAAGATGGTTTTACAAAGTGCTGTTCCATCAGAGCAGCCCAAGTCACCTTCTGGAGTCCTTCGCACCAATACCGCCAGCAGCGCCATCTCGACCACCAATTCTCCCAAGATGCTCCCACAAAGTATGATGACAACTTCCGAAGGAGCAAATTCTTCTGTTCAACGCTCGCCATCAGCTGGCAGTAACCACTCCAGCTCAACACCCCCAATTTCGAGCCGATAGCCTTACTAGCACTCCGAAAAGTCCGGTCAACGAATCACCCAAGATGGCTCTACAAGGTGCTGTACCATTAGAGCAGCCCAAGTCACCTTCTGGAGTACTTCGCACCAATACCGCCAGCAGCGCGAACGTCTCGACCAGCAAGATGATCCCACAAAGCATTGTGACACAGCCGACGCCTTCAGGACAGGAAAATGCTTCTTTTCAAGCCTCACCAACAGCTGTCAGTTCTGGATCACCACCTCAACTTCGAGCCGGCAGCCTCACTAACACTCCGAAAAGTCCGGTCAACGAATCACCCAAGATGGTTTTACAAAGTGCTGTTCGATCAGAGCAGCCCAAGTCACCTTCTGGAGTACTTTGCACCAATACCGCCAGCAGCGCGAACGTCTCGACCAGCAATTCTCCCAAGATGATCCCACAAAGCATTGTGACACAGCCGACGCCTTCTGGACAGGAAAATGCTTCACTTCAACCCTCACCAACAGCTGTCAGTTCTGGATCACCACCTCAACTTCGAGCCGACAGCCTCACTAACACTCCGAAAAGTCCGGTCAGCGAATCACCCAAGATGGTTTTACAAGGTGCTGTACCATTAGAGCAGCCCAAGTCACCTTCTGGAGTACTTCGCACCAATACCGCCAGCAGCGCGAACGTCTCGACCAGCAATTCTCCCAAGATGATCCCACAAAGCATTGTGACACAGCCGACGCCTTCTGGACAGGAAAATGCTTCACTTCAACCCTCACCAACAGCTGTCAGTTCTGGATCACCACCTCAACTTCGAGCCGACAGCCTCACTAACACTCCGAAAAGTCCGGTCAGCGAATCACCCAAGATGGTTTTACAAGGTGCTGTACCATTAGAGCAGCCCAAGTCACCTTCTGGAGTACTTCGCACCAATACCGCCAGCAGCGCGAACGTCTCGACCAGCAATTCTCCCAAGATGATCCCACAAAGCATTGTGACACAGCCGACGCCTTCTGGACAGGAAAATGCTTCTCTTCAACCCTCACCAACAGCTGTCAGTTCTGGATCACCACCTCAACTTCGAGCCGACAGCCTCACTAACACTCCGAAAAGTCCGGTCAGCGAATCACCCAAGATGGTTTTACAAAGTGCTGTTCCATCAGAGCAGCCCAAGTCACCTTCTGGAGTACTTCGCACCAATACCGCCAGCAGCGCCATCTCGACCAGCAATTCTCCCAAGATGCTCCCACAAAGTATGATGACAACTTCCGAAGGAAAGCAGGCAAATTCTTCTGTTCAACGCTCGCCATCAGCTGGCAGTAGCCACTCCAGCTCAACACCCCAATTTCGAGCCGATAGCCTCACTAGCACTCCGAAAAGTCCGGTCAACGAATCACCCAAAATGGCTCTACAAAGTGCTGTGCCATCAGAGCAGCCCAAGTCACCTTCTGGAGTACTTCGCACCAATACCGCCAGCAGCGCGAACGTCTCGACCAGCAATTCTCCCAAGATGATCCCACAAAGCATTGTGACACAGCAGACGCCTTCTGGACAGGAAAATGCTTCTCTTCAGCCCTCACCAACAGCTGTCAGTTCTGGATCACCACCTCAACTTCGAGCCGACAGCCTCACTAACACTCCGAAAAGTCCGGTCAACGAATCACCCAAGATGGTTTCACAAAGTGCTGTTCCATCAGAGCAGCCCAAGTCACCTTCTGGAGTACTTCGCACCAATACCGCCAGCAGCGCCATCTCGACCAGCAATTCTCCCAAGATGCTCCCACAAAGTATGATGACAACTTCCGAAGGAAAGCAGGCAAATTCTTCTGTTCAACGCTCGCCATCAGCTGGCAGTAGCCACTCCAGCTCAACACCCCAATTTCGAGCCGATAGCCTCACTAGCACTCCGAAAAGTCCGGTCAACGAATCACCCAAAATGGCTCTACAAAGTGCTGTGCCATCAGAGCAGCCCAAGTCGCCTTCTGGAGTACTTCGCCCCAATACCGCCAGCAGCGCGAACGTCTCGACCAGCAATTCTTCCAAGATGATCCCACAAAGCATTGTGACACAGCAGATGCCTTCTGGACAGGAAAATGCTGCTCTTCAACCCTCACCAACAGCTGTCAGTTCTGGATCACCACCTCAACTTCGAGCCGACAGCCTCACTAACACTCCGAAAAGTCCGGTCAACGAATCACCCAAGATGGTTTCACAAAGTGCTGTTCCATCAGAGCAGCCCAAGTCACCCTCTGGAGTACTTCGCACCAATACCGCCAGCAGCGCCATCTCGACCAGCAATTCTCCCAAGATGCTCTCACAAAGTATGATGACAACTTCCGAAGGAAAGCAGGCAAATTCTTCTGTTCAACGCTCGCCATCAGCTGGCAGTAGCCACTCCAGCTCAACACCCCAATTTCGAGCCGATAGCCTCACTAGCACTCCGAAAAGTCCGGTCAACGAATCACCCAAAATGGCTCTACAAAGTGCTGTGCCATCAGAGCAGCCCAAGTCGCCTTCTGGAGTACTTCGCCCCAATACCGCCAGCAGCGCGAACGTCTCGACCAGCAATTCTTCCAAGATGATCCCACAAAGCATTGTGACACAGCAGATGCCTTCTGGACAGGAAAATGCTGCTCTTCAACCCTCACCAACAGCTGTCAGTTCTGGATCACCACCTCAACTTCGAGCCGACAGCCTCACTAACACTCCGAAAAGTCCGGTCAACGAATCACCCAAGATGGTTTCACAAAGTGCTGTTCCATCAGAGCAGCCCAAGTCACCCTCTGGAGTACTTCGCACCAATACCGCCAGCAGCGCCATCTCGACCAGCAATTCTCCCAAGATGCTCTCACAAAGTATGATGACAACTTCCGAAGGAAAGCAGGCAAATTCTTCTGTTCAACGCTCGCCATCAGCTGGCAGTAGCCACTCCAGCTCAACACCCCAACTTCGAGCCGCCAGCCTCACTAACACTCCGAAAAGTCCGGTCAACGAATCACCCAAGATGGTTTCACAAAGTGCTGTTCCATCAGAGCAGCCCAAGTCACCTTCTGGAGTACTTCGCACCAATACCGCCAGCAGCGCCATCTCGACCAGCAATTCTCCCAAGATGCTCTCACAAAGTATGATGACAACTTCCGAAGGAAAGCAGGCAAATTCTTCTGTTCAACGCTCGCCATCAGCTGGCAGTAGCCACTCCAGCTCAACACCCCAATTTCGAGCCGATAGCCTCACTAGCACTCCGAAAAGTCCGGTCAACGAATCACCCAAAATGGCTCTACAAAGTGCTGTGCCATCAGAGCAGCCCAAGTCGCCTTCTGGAGTACTTCGCCCCAATACCGCCAGCAGCGCGAACGTCTCGACCAGCAATTCTTCCAAGATGATCCCACAAAGCATTGTGACACAGCAGATGCCTTCTGGACAGGAAAATGCTGCTCTTCAACCCTCACCAACAGCTGTCAGTTCTGGATCACCACCTCAACTTCGAGCCGACAGCCTCACTAACACTCCGAAAAGTCCGGTCAACGAATCACCCAAGATGGTTTCACAAAGTGCTGTTCCATCAGAGCAGCCCAAGTCACCCTCTGGAGTACTTCGCACCAATACCGCCAGCAGCGCCATCTCGACCAGCAATTCTCCCAAGATGCTCTCACAAAGTATGATGACAACTTCCGAAGGAAAGCAGGCAAATTCTTCTGTTCAACGCTCGCCATCAGCTGGCAGTAGCCACTCCAGCTCAACACCCCAACTTCGAGCCGCCAGCCTCACTAACACTCCGAAAAGTCCGGTCAACGAATCACCCAAGATGGTTTCACAAAGTGCTGTTCCATCAGAGCAGCCCAAGTCACCTTCTGGAGTACTTCGCACCAATACCGCCAGCAGCGCGAACGTCTCGACCAGCAATTCTCCCAAGACGCTCCCACAAAGTATGATGACAACTTCCGAAGGAAAGCAGGCAAATTCTTCTGTTCAACGCTCGCCATCAGCTGGCAGTAGCCACTCCAGCTCAACACCCCAATTTCGAGCCGATAGCCCCAGTAGCACTCCGAAAAGTCCGGTCAACGAATCACCCAAAATGGCTCTACAAAGTGCTGTACCATTAGAGCAGCCCAAGTCACCTTCTGGAGTACTTCGCACCAATACCGCCAGCAGCGCGAACGTCTCGACCAGCAATTCTCCCAAGACGCTCCCACAAAGTATGATGACAACTTCCGAAGGAAAGCAGGCAAATTCTTCTGTTCAACGCTCGCCATCAGCTGGCAGTAGCCACTCCAGCTCAACACCCCAATTTCGAGCCGATAGCCCCAGTAGCACTCCGAAAAGTCCGGTCAACGAATCACCCAAAATAGCTCTACAAAGTGCTGTACCATTAGAGCAGCCCAAGACACCTTCTGGAGTACTTCGCACCAATACCGCCAGCAGCTCAACCAGCAATTCTCCGAAGATGATCCCACAAAGCATTGTGACACAGCCGACGCCTTCTGGACAGGAAAATGCTTCTCTTCAACCCTCACCAACAGCTGTCAGTTCTGGATCACCACCTCAACTTCGAGCCGACAGCCTCACTAACACTCCGAGAAGTCCGGTCAACGAATCACCCAAGATGGTTTTACAAAGTGCTGTGCTATCAGAGCAGCCCAATTCACCTTCTGGAGTACTTCGCACCAATACCGCCAGCAGCGCGAACGTCTCGACAAGCAATTCTCCCAAGATGCTCCCACAAAGTATGATTACAACTTCCGAAGGAAAGCAGGGAAACGTTTCTGTTCAACGCTCGCCATCAGCTGGCAGTAGCGACTCAGGCTCAACACCCCAATTTCGAGCCGATAGCCTTACTAGCAACGAATCACCCAAGATGGCTCTACAGAGTGCTGCTGTGCCATCAGAGCAGCCCAAGTTACCTTCTGGATCACCACATCAGGTTCGATCGCATAGCGTCACGAGCACTCCCAGAAGCTTGGACAATAGAATTGCCGTGCAAAGTGGGGCTGCAGCATCAGAATACCACAGGTTAGCCTCTGGCTCATCATCTGACACCGATAGCGCCACTCGTTCCGAAAGCAATCAGACACCAAGAATGCTCCCACAAATTGCAGCTGAGGCGTCAGAACAACAGAAGTCAGAATCTGGCTCAACATCGCAACTTCAGCAAGTTACCAATTACGTCATCAACGATTCTACGACCTTCCAGAGTGGTAGCACAAGATCAGAACCGCGTGTTGCTACGCGATCCCTGGAATACGCAAGGCATGTAACGGAGCAAACAACAGAGCACCTTAGTCCCGATGCAACTCCCATGGCACTGGTCGCAGCGTCGCCCTTCACAAGCGTCCCCTTTGATGGAAATTCGACTGTTACTCCTACAGCTGCAGAAATTTCCACTTCCCAAGTTGCAGATCGTCTCCAGACTTCCCCTGGGATACGCCAAGCATCGTCACCCAGAGATGGATTCGACACGACGACATCCTATGAACCTGGACGACGACAGGTCTCTTCCGTTATCCTTTCTGAAGAGTTCCTAACAGCTCCACCATCCGACATGGAAGTTAAATGTGAGTCACTGATCACGAAATTTGGTTGTAACGATACGCTTTCCAGACGTTGAAGTTCCCGTTATTGAGGAAGTTATCAAACGTGTTCCCAAAAGAGAAATTGTCGAAGTCGAAAAAATTGTTCCGAAATATGAAGTTGAAATCGTTGAACGTGTTGTTGAAACGCCTCGTGTTGAATACATCGATCGATTTGTTGAGAAGCCTACTGTCCAGGAGGTCGTCGTTTCAAAGTCGGTGAAGACAGTTCAAGAAGTCCCACGCGAAGTGATTAGAACGGTTCCCAAGATAGAAACCGTTGTTGTCGAGAAATGTGTCAATGTGCCGGGAGAGATTATCGAGGTTGGTACGACAGGTGTTTTTTAGGCAGTAGTCCGTGTTTCAGGTGCCGAAACCATACAAAGTGGAACAGCAAGTTCCAACCAAGCGATGGGTGGACAAAAACATGCCGGTTGTTATTGCTCAAACAATCCGTCCAGTTGTCACTGAATCCCAGGACGTTATCGACGTTGATATCTGTAAGGGCAGAGTGAGAAAGGGCATCTATTATGCTTGATTTTGCGCTTCAGATGAGTACGAGCCTCAAATTGTCGAGGTAGACGTTCATGTCGCGAAGCCCATTTCTTCGCACCTCACAATTGTGGGACAAACACAAGAACACCACCAGGCAGTAACTGTTCCAGCTGCTCAATACAACACAATCCTTCGATCGATCAACCAACATATCGACGATTTCAGCAGTCTTCCATATATCAAGGAAAACAATCAAGTTTCATTTTTGGGTAGGCGTTGTTTGAGCTGCCCTCCAACTTGAACGTTTTAATTTCAGGAACAAATGAAACTCCAGGATTCACAGCACCAGACTCGCGAGTCCATGTTTCCAGCGTCTTGTCCCAAGGAAACGTCACGTCTAGAAAACTCACCAGTGGGGACGCTCCTCATCACCAAGCAACACCATCGATCAACATTGTCACTACGAGTGAGATGGGAAACCGATTTGGTTTGAATTCTCTAGCACTAGGGTCCAGTCCTGCTTTCGCTCCCGTCGTTGAAGCTCGCGGTGATGGAGGGCGCGAGACAACGAATATGCTCTTGCCCACGCAGCGGCGCCACAAGCATCATAAAAGTGGGAAAAAATCTCCAAAGAAGAGCGCTTGCACATGTATGTGCTAAAGTTGATCTTTTAATAATTTCAATGAAATTGTCTCGTTGTCATGATTTTTTAAGGACCCTCTTTAGCCCCAATTCGATTTTTTTTGGTCAGCTCGATTTTTTTTTGCCGCCAGCCCGTCTTTTTCAGTTTCCAATGTTTTTTTCAATGTACGGTCGCAAGGCCACAAAAAAGCTATTTGTATCTTTCACAATTATTTGATCGAATGTATTCGCCACTCTTCCCTCCGGATTTATAATCAAGTTGGATCTCTTGGATGACTGCAGATTTGCACACCGCCTTGCACATGTCATAGAGGGTCAAAGCTGCGATTGAAACCCCAGTGAGAGCCTCCATTTCGACTCCAGTCTTGCTGGTAGAACGTGCAACTGAAGAGACCAGGATGGAATTGCTCCCTTCATCTATTCTGCATTTAATCTCAATCTGAGAAAGATTAATATTGTGGCACAAAGGAATAAGATCAGAGGTCTTTTTCGCCCCCATAATGCCCGCAATTTCCGCTGTTGTTAGAACTGGTCCTTTGCTTGAAGCTGACAAACTCGAATCCTTACAAGAAGAATCGGATCTTCTCAGCAAGTCAATGATAGCTTGATTCACAACCACTCGACCAGATGCGCAAGCAACTCGTTTCGTTTCTAGCTTGCCGTTGTCTTCAACATTCACCATACGAACCCCACCGTCTTTGACATGCGTGATACTTGAAACATTTTTATGAAATGTATGACGGTGGAAGGGTGCCGCTCTCTTCACCCATAAACCACCAGGTGTTATCAAATGGCAGAGACTCTGTGATAGGCGAACAGAAAATGACATCTGTATGCTGAAGATGAATGAAGCAGTTGCAATAAAAATCAACGGGGAAACCTTCTACAATGGATTGGAAAAATATTGATTTGAACTCCTCAAATGGTTTAGAAAATACGATCAAAAATGGCGAGCACAACATGAACAATATAAACATGGAAGAGCAACACACCAATATTTATCGGATGAAGGGGAGTATGCACCAAAAACAAAATTTGCAAGTACAACAGTATGGACCACAACTTGTATTTCCAAGAACACAAACTCCACACGGTTGCGTTCCAAACCAATTTAGATCTTCCAATGAAGCACCCACACAAGCAACTCGTAGACAACCGCCAGGATCTCTCCCTCTACGACCCCCCTTGAGGTGGTACGCCGCGCCATTGCAACAATTTGGTTCCACTGATGCATCGCAGCATCTTCGCCGCAGCACATTGCCTCCCTCCCCGAACCCACCGTCCTTTACCACAATCCCGCCATGCCACGCAATTCCCTCTTCGCGCAAATTCCATTCAATGCCTCCTTCTCAACCCCTAGCATCTCCATTAGTTGGGGGTCCTTCGCATATCCCCTCTCACCCATATTCACCACAAATGGCTCTTTATCCACAACGTAGTATTCCACTTCGTCCACGGCGGTACATTCCTCGCTATTGTGAACCGAATCGCAACCAGTCCTTCACAAATTCAATCTTAGCGCCTCCTGCAATACGACGCTCTCATCTCGGAGATTCGACCCGGACTGTCCCACTAGGTCTTCCGTCATCTTCCGTACCGCCTTCGCCTCTCCGTCTTCCTCGTAGCGCCCGCCATTCCCTCTCTTCGATTCCAGACAGTCGCAGACGAACGCAAAGTGAGGACGGTGAAGCCGCACGGAACGAGGAAAGTGACAACACGCTCGTTGGTCTCTTGAAGAAGAAACTCAGTCCTCTCTCCGCTTTCTTCACACTCACTGGGAATCCATCAGCTCCAGACCTCCCAATCCCATCTGACCAGGAAAATGTTGAAGGGAGAAGTTCTCGACTTCCAGGGACACCCACTGCGGAGAAATCAATTGCGAAAATACAAACAGAATTGTGTTCCAGCCCCACCAACTTTTGTCCGCCGAGTCGTCGGAACCACGTGGGAATCCCGCGTTGTTCCGTTTCCGAGCACGTCCCAAAGCCAAACTGGAGGTGTTGCACTTGAAAGGAAATCCCAGTCAACCCAGGCGTCCCAAGAGTCCCAAGCGTCCCAAGATTCACTGATTCCCAATATGGCGAATACAGAAGACGAATTTTTCACTTCCATTGAAGTTGAAGTTGATTCGCGCTCCTCGTATCAGGCCAGCGACTCAGCAAATCAACGCGCAGGTTCGAATCATTCGGAATCGAACTGCCAACGGAACACGGAACCCTCTTCCGACGGTTTGTCTCGAAGCAATCAGTCTGTTGAACAGACGGCGAATCCCCAGCGTTGCAAAGCATGGCTTCCTGTCGTTCTTTCTCCCTCACCGGTGCAAGAAGGACGCCTCATCACGGCAACAATGTTCAGAAAAGAGGTCCGGGAATGCGAAGAGTCGCCTCGGGGGGTTGAGGTGTCTGAAGGTTCGAGTTGGATTTCGTTCCCATCTAGAGTGACAAGAAAGAGTGAGGAGGAACGAGACGTTCTTCCGACGTACAGGAAGTCGGAGACGTTGATAGAAGTCTTGCCACAAGAGCCAACGCGATTTAGAGGCGAGCGATTCATCGTGGATGATTTCCCGAGATCTCCGAAAGCGGTGATTCACCAAGATATCGATAGTATGAAGAATGTCCAAGATATTAAGAGTCACCAAGATATTAAGAGTCACCAAGATATTAAGAGTGACAAATCCAGCTCATCAAATGAGGGGACGCTTTCATCCGGATCTATTGGAGACGTTATGGATCCAACACTTCTGCATCAAGAAGAAGATCTTCCCAGATTATTGGGAGTGAAACTTGAAACGCTGAATTTCCAATCTTCAAATGAAAAACAGAATGAATTGCAAACTGAGTCAAAAGAAACTCAAACAGATGGCGCCCCTGTTTGGAAGATTGATGAGAGAAAACGTTTCATTGAATGTGGACTTCAAACAGATCAATCCGAAATCCTATCAGTGAGAGAACTGACAAGTCATTACGTGCAGAAATGTGACAACAACGTCATCAAGAGCATTGCATCACAGGATGTGTCTATCGGAACATCCATAGAATGGCAAGATCAACAAGTGGGTCAAAGTGTCCCCACAATGGACAAGGAAATCGGATGCGAACTACTGGAGAAACATGCAAACGAAAGACTTCAAGCCGACGTTTCCGCTCTTTTGGAACAGCAAAATCAGTGGGAGGTGAAGCGTGAATCACTCGAACAACAATTGAAGACACGGGACATGATAATCGACAAACTAGAGAAATCTGTCAAAACTTCAGAAGCTCAAATGTTGCTCCATCTTCGACGAGCAAAAAGCGCCGAAGAGAAGTTGGATGAAGTGATCAAGATTTCCGAAAAGAAGCGAGAGAGTTTGAAGAAGGGCGTTCTCTGTCGCGTTGTTGAGTTTCAGGGAAGGCAATTGTCGCTATTGAGTTATGCAGTCTCCATTCATTGCACGCAAATTCGAGAAGAAGCGGAACTCGGTACGGATTTTCATGAAGGAATTTCTCAGAGTTCTGAAAGCTTCAAATTGTTCGATCGAGGCTCGTCGCTCTCGACCATCAACACCTTGCCCACGCAAGAAGATCTTCATAAAGCCTCCTCACAATTGAAAAACATCTGTGTTGATGAATGCATCAAACGGGAGGAATCTCTAGTAGTAGGTTGAGGTTTCACTTTTCGCGCGACATGGTTTGTTGCTGTGCAGGTTAATCGGGCTCTTGGGTTCATCCCTTGTGTCCCAACTCCATTGGAGACAAATAAATTAGTGACAGCTTCGTCATCGATTTCAAGAGGAACGCACCCACCGAAACCGAAGAGATCATCCACCGGATCTAGCAGCTACAGTAGGCCCTCTACGTCTTCATTCGTCCATGGGATTCCAATCTGTCTTCCAACTGGGGTTGCAGCCCATGCGCGTCGGCATCACCATCTCCAGAGGAGCCCATCTGAAAGTGAAACGGCTGTTTTTCTTCCATCGGCGTTTGAGAACTCGCCTACAGCCGCTTCAAAAAGAGCCGAAGATCGAGCACAGGAGTCTGCAAGAAGTCCCAAATTGTCTCAACAAACCGAGCGCTCATGTCGAGAGCAAACGTTTGATAGGCCGACACGGGGTGAGTCGCACACTGAGAATTCTCTAGGGATTATTTCTTCTTCGCAGCGTCTACAATTCGCGCCGAAGAGACGCAAAAGACCCTTCAGCAACGACATTGCCCTCCTGGCGAGAGACTGTCGACGACGAGTTCGTGTAGTGAGTCATTCATGAACCGCCCGTCTCGTTCCCGGTCCTCTTTGCATCGCAGCAGCTCTGTTTTTCCTTGATTGAATTTTCACTGAATCAGAGCGGTCATTTTTGTCTGCGAATCTGTTTTTATTAATCGTTTTGAGCAACAAAAAAAAGTGCGCGTACAAAGGCTACACTAAAAACGAACAGAAAGTGTAGAGGATTTTAGAACCGTCTGCTATTTCTGCAGCTCTAACAGTCATGATTCTTTGCTTTTCAGAAAACTGTGACAACCCAGTCTCCTTAGCTTGCTCTCGCGTCATGACATTAGTCCGTTGCAGGACTATGCCTTACGTGGTAATTCTGAAATTCTATCTTACAGTCTGCCCAGTGGTCACTCACGACACTGGCGGCCCAGAGTCAGTCGCACTCATCATCATTCACTCCCAGCATGCACCGCACCTCACATCGGTAGGATTGCTGTTATTCGTCTACCTCTCCATCTCGTTTTCCGCTGTTATCTCTGCTGTCTGAAACTTTAGTGACGAGATCCGGAACGATTGGTTGATGTTTTGCCAGATCGTTTTCTTTCTCCCTTAGAGTGCTTCTTCCACTTTGATTTATTTTTCTTTGCTCCCATTGTTTTTTAAACATTGATTCTTGTTCTGGGGCGTCGCTTGGAGCGTCGTCGCTTCGAACGTATTTTTGGTTTCAAATGAAGTAGAAGCCAGTATGAAATCTTGGATCCCCCAAATCCTGGTGTTGTGCTGCTAACCACCGGTGAGGTGGTGATCATTGCATCACTTCCCGTC